CCCCAAGGGGATAAAAAAGGGGATGAAAGTTTGTATGAAACTTTGTCAGTCTTAAACCGATCGGGCTGATAAAGCCTTCTTTATGTGTACCTATATTATACGGGATGCCTACATCCCCTTCTTTTTTTGTCAGGAGAAAAACATCAAATGAGCCCACCCTGGGCGGGAGAACTTATTTGATGATTTTCTTCTAAGGCGAGAGAGAGAGAGAGAGAGAGAGAGAGAGAGAGTTTCAGACTCTTACTGACTAAAAAGCCCCCCGTTCCTTCTCCTGCTCTGGGCCGACGCCGCGGTGACTCATTGCAGTTAACCCGCAACCCTGGCTGAACATCAGCCCTACAGGGCGCCGTCTGTGGTGGTCTATTGGCTCTTTGAGGCGCGCGCGGAACGCTACGCGCCGTCCGCAGACCCGCGCTTACGGTGGCCGGAGATCGTGTCTCGATCCCTCCTTCAATGTTGCCCCGGAATGTGGCGCGACGAGGATATCAATCCTTTCTTAGCAGATGCCTATCTGCTAAGAAAGGATTTTGATTAATTTTACCCCCAAGGGGATAAAATACGGGATGAAAGTTTGTATGAAACTTGGTCAGTTTTAAACCGATCTGGCTGGAACTTTGCATGCATAAAGCTACTATAACGCCTGCGTTATACGGGATGCCCCCTTATATATCCCTTTTTTATTTGTCAGGAGAAAATTTTCTTCTAAGGCGAGAGAGAGAGAGAGTGTTTCAGACTCTTACTGACTAAAAAGCCCCCCGTTTCTTCTCCTGCTCTGGGCCGATGCCGCGGTGACTCATTGCAGTTAACCCGCAACCCTGGCTGAACATCAGCCCTATAGGGCGCCGTCTTTTTTTTTTTTTGTGAGGGGAAAATCATCAAATGACTTCTCCCGCCCAGGGCCGGGCAGGAGGGAGTGTCAGACTCTTACTGACTAAAAACCCCCCTGTTCCTTCTCCTGCTCTGTGCCGAGGTCGCGGTACCTCATTGCGCTTACCCCGCAACCCCGGCTGAACATCAGCCCTTTAGGGCCCCGTCTGTGGTGGTCTATTGGCTCTTTGAGGCGCGCGCGGAACGCTACGCGCCGTACGCTCGGGCCTGGTTCTGGTCGGGCGGCGAGCTGCCCTTACTCGCCGACCGCAGGCCCGTGCTTACGGTGGCCGGAGATCGTCCCTCGATCCCCGACGCCCGTAGTGTCGCCAGTTGCGGCTGCTGGGGCGTGAGGAGGAGGATTGCTCCCTCACGCGGGCCGCCTCTCTCTTTGCGAGCATGACTGCTTCACAAAAGGAGGAGACGGCGTCCCAGTTCCTCTCACTCTGCACCATGGCCTCGACTAAGGCCGGGCGCGAGAGGTCGCCGCCGCCGATCACTTCCCTGAGGATACGGCGGTGCTCAGCCCAGGCAGGGCATACCGCTACCGTATGCTCCACCGTATCCTCTATGTGGTCCTCACAATGACGACACTCGGGCGTTTCCTCCCGCTGAATCCGAAACAGGAACCTACCGAAGCTGCCGTGCCCGGTAAGCACCTGCGTCAGACGGAAGGTGAGGACACCGTGGCGTCTCCCAAGCCACTCCTCAAAGAGGGGTCTTACCGCTGCTATGGTAGCGTGCCCGGCCCTCGGTTGCGACAGTCGTTGTTTCCATTCTGCCATGAGATCTCGCCGGAGCTCATTCCGCCACGCACTAATTTGGCGCGGCAGAGGATCTTCGCCCCGGCGACGCGCGTCTGCGCGCAAACTGTAGACGCGCGCGAGCGCCTTCGCTTCTAGATCCCACGGCGGTGATCCGGCAAGGAGGTTCGCCGCCTCCCCGGAGATCGTGCGATACCCGCGGATTACTCGGATAGCCATGACCCTCTGGGACGCGACCAGCGTACGAGCCGGCCGCCGCTTCAAGTCCGGCGCCCACACAGGGGCACCGTAGAGGGCCATGGATCGCACAATCCCCATATACAACCTCCGGCAGGAGGCGTCTGGCCCCCCGAGGTTGGGAAGGAGCCGCTTGAGCGCGGCCCCAGACCGTTCCAACTTAGGGGCCAAACGACGAAAATGCTCCGTGAAGTTCCATCGGCTGTCGAGGACGAGACCCAGGTACTTCATCGCCGACTCGACGCCGATGGTAACTCCTCCTGCCGTTATTTGGGACCCACCTGGAGGTGGCGCGCTCCGACGGCCATAGAAACACATGGCCTCGGACTTGTGGAGCGCCACCTCGAGTCCCAACTGCCGGATCCTTGCAACGACTGTCGCAACCGCTTGTGACATCAGGTCGGCCGCCGCCTGATGCGACCTCCCGTTCGCCAGCACCAGCGTGTCGTCAGCATAACAGACAATGCTGACGCCGCTCGGGAGGTCGGTGCGTAGCACCCAATCGTACCCGATGTTCCACAGGAGAGGTCCCAGGACCGATCCCTGTGGGACACCGCGCGACACCTTTCGCCGTTTCCACACGCCCCGGTGACCGGGGTAGATGACACATAGGGCGCCGTCTATGGTGGTCTGTTGGCTCTTTGAGGCGCGCGCGGAACGCTACGCGCCGTCCGCAGACCCGCGCTTACTGTGCCGGATATTGTATCTCGATCCCGCCTTCAATGTTGCCCCGGAATGAGGCGCGACGAGGATAGTTCCCTCACGGTCTCCGCCTCTTCCTTTGCGAGCATCACTGCTTCGCAGAAAGAGGATACGTCTTTCCAGTACCTTTCGCTACGAACCTAATCCTCGACTAGGGCCGGGCGCGAGAGGTCGCCGCCGCCGATCACTTCCCCAAAGACATGGCGGTGCTCAGCCCTAGCAGGGCACACCGCCACCGTATGCTCCACCGTGTCCTCTAGGTGGTCCTCACAATGACGACACCCGGGAGTTTCCTTCCACTGGATCCGAAACAGGAACCTACCGAAGCTGCCGTGCCCGGTAAGTACCTGCGTCAGGCGGAAGGTGAGGATGCCGTGGCGCCTCTCAAGCCACTTCTCAAAGAGGGGTCTTATCGCTGCTATAATAGCGTGCTCAGCCCTCGGTTGCGACAGTCGCTGCTTCCACTCAGCCATGAGATCTCGCCGGAGCTCATTTCGCCACGCACTAATTGGCGCGGCAGAGGATCCTCGCCCCGGAGACGCGCGTCTGCCCGCAAACTGTATACGCGCATTAGAGCCTTCATCCCACGGCGGTGATCCGGCAAGGAGGTTCGCCGCCTCCACAGAGATCGTGTGATATTCGCGGATTATCCGGATAGCGATGACCCTCTGGGACGCTACCAGCGTACGAGCTTGCCGCCGCCTCAAGTCCGGCGCCCCGTAGAGAGCCATGGATCATCCGTCCGTCGAGCCGTATACGTATTGAATAATACCAATAATAATATGTATAATATATATGTATAAATATATTATACACATATATATATATATATATAATAAAGAATATTTACAATATCAAGGCGTAGTCACACGTTACATTTAGCTACTCCATACCTGCACTTCGATAACGTGTGACTACGCCTTTCAGTATTCTGAAAATCCTGTTTTATACTTTTTCAGCGTCGCTTTTTGTCATCAAAAAAACTAAAACCTAACTGGTTTTAGTTTTTATACATTTTATTAATTAGCATTTTACAGCAGACGGTTCGAGAATCTCTACATACATGCTGCAGTGACCATCAGCAATCTGTTATACAGTCTATAGTCTTACAGAGGAATACATTATTACAATTTATTTATAATATTAATCAATTTGATTTACATTTAGTACATAAACAAAAAACAAAGTTAACAATGCAGTTAAAATACATACATCATGTTCTTGTACAACCGTAAATATAAGTTTGTTTTTAATTACCTTAAGTTAATTAGTTAAGTTTTATTTAAATTACTATTTTTTATTTCAAATTATTGTATTGTCATCGGTCCTTGACCCCTATGCAAATTTCCATGTTGATCAGACTCTTACAAGTAGGTCAAAATTAAGTTCAAAGATTCCGTTACATACATACATACATACAGGTGAAGCTAATAAAAGCGTGTTAATTATAGCCCATTTTCAGGCAGTGGTAGAAAATAGGTCCACATTACTATTTCGTCTCTAGCCCTATAAACCAGCATTATATCAGTGACAAGTACGAATGAACCAGTAAACTAGTTGTATCCATCAGCTCAACATGTGTTCATTATCTCCATATAGCCAACACTGTGGTTATCACGAGACTAGTTCCTACCACGTGCTACCACGTTTATAGAATGAAAATACAAAACATAAACTAACTGACAAGTTCACCTCGACGTTTTTAAATAAATTTGGGATCGAAATTCAATTCCTATGTTACAAGACACTGTTTATGTAGTAAATTTTCATTTAATAAAAAACTTTAACAAACTGTATACTTACCGGTAATATCGGCACTACTTTGCAATATCTGCATTGTATAATTGCTGGCAACACACAATATTGTGTGTAACTTTACTGCACTATGCAATAATGTTAGATATTCACATAGATGTTTAATTAACTATTGCGACTTCGTTATCTGCCAGGTTGCAGGTGAAGCGCAATAATGTACCGCGACCTCCGCCTGGAGCCGGAGAAGGCACGGAGTAGTTGTAGTCAGGAAGAGTCTGACACTCTCACTCCTCGCACCAACTTACTTAACATCTCTTCATATTTTTATTTCATATCGATCACTGTCAACAGCACTATAGTACATTAGGTTTTTCAATTGAAATGAAAAAACATGTTAAAAATATATCAAAATTTATATTTAATCTGACGGGATTGTCATCTGATTAAACTCGTGTATTTTTGTAATTCATTATTATTATTATACATTGTTCACAATATTTTGAAATAACATTATTCAATGTGAAATTAAACAGAAACGACTGGCGTTTCTTAACAAACAAGAAATAAATTTTAAAATTCAGTCGTTTTTAGTACATACATATTTATTTTGTTCCTGGATAAATCTAACATTCACAAACAGGAATGTTTTGATGTTTGTTTTTTGAAAAAATCGCTTATGGTTGTGATAAAAACACTTACAATCAGCTTATACACCCTCTACATTTCCATTCTACTAAATAATTTATAATTTTTTCCTATTATAATACAATCACAGAATTTCAATGAATACTATATTTACAGTAGAGTATGTACACAATTAATGTAATGTTGCTCCCTGCCTCCATCAGTCATCAGTTTACTTACAACTTAGAACTACGCCTTACATCTCCGTGCACTAAGTGGGTGCTTCCTCTATCTGCTGCGGACAGTTGTCCGCGACGCGACTGGGCGTCCTGTTGAGCAGGAAGTCCAGGTCGTGGGATATCTTGTGCAGCACTTTGTCTGTCTGTGTGAATGTGGTGTGCGTGCTCGGGGTTTGGGACTGTGTATCCACTAGCTGTAGGTGGATATTGCTCTCGTCGCTCTCATGGTTTATGGACGGTAACGATGTGCTCCACGACAGCTGAGGCGAACGCTTCTTTAGACAACTCTTGATTGGACGCGGAGCTGTGCTCGTTGCTGACACGTCTGGAGTGGACTTTGCACACAGCGTGCAGTTGGCCTGGTAACATTATTAATACTTTAAATCAGTCTTAAGTTTTGCTATACAACGTCGTAGGAATCCTCATTTACCTTTAATATGTCGCTTGTATCGCTAGGCGGCTGGAAAGTACTGGCGTCCGTGACGGTAGTTTGTGACGCTTCAGGTAGCACTCCTAGTTCTACACATACCCGGGACACACGAGGCTCTGCACCGCCTACTGACAGAGATATGATACAAAGTTTATCAAAACATATACTGCATTCCATTTCTATTTAGCTGTAAAAGTGTTTGAATATTACCAATAGGTATGAGGTCGCAGAGTGTCCGTGTGTGGACATTGCGCGGTGGTAGTAATGCCTGCTTGTACTCCACGCAGCGCACTATGTCCGCCACACACGCGCCGCTCGACCCGCGCCTGATCACACAACTACATTATACATTGCCTGACAGATGTAGCAGATACTGCACAGTGACGTCACACTAGCTCACCGGTGCAAGGGGCTCTGCAGCGGCGTGGCGCGCCAGTACGTGTTGGCGGGCGACACGTGCGACGAGGAGCACTCCAGCGAGCCCACCGCGCCGCGACACTCCATCTCACGCCCTTGTCTTATGTACACTACAACGTCAACAATTATTGAGAAACTGATCTTATAATCACGTACTGGTTACTTGAAAAAGAAGATATGCTTAGATACTTACAACTAAGAGATGCGTCTCCTTCAGGGGAATCGTGCCATTCATTGTTTGAGGAGAGCGTGAATAACCGCCGAGCTGCTCGTAAACACTCCTCGTCACAGATCACGTAGCATATCAACATTGCTAGACCCTGCACACGCAAGAAACAGTATTGGTACAGAAGAGTAATTATTGGCTTGTTTCACATATAGTCCGTACTCTGTATGGTCCTTACATTGGCTAATGCAGCGACAGAAAGCGCTACAACTTTAGGTATAGTCTTCTCCACAGGCTGCGCATAAGCTACCCCTGCAATCTGTGTCGCTGTAGTAGTGAAGAGTAGCACTAATGTATGGCGCACCACTCGCGCACGTTCCCGCACGTACTCGCGTCTGTCGGGCGGCAGCTTTTGGGTGACCTGAGACGTAACGTAAGAAAAATAATTTGTAATGATTTCTTAGTCATTTTTTCATGCAGAAGAATGCAGGGTGTAAAATGTGCTTACTGTTCGCAGTGTCCTGGCAGCGCAGAGTGCGAGACAGAGTGTAAGCGCGGCTAGTAGTGCAGCGCCTGCTCCACAGACCGCATTGGCAGCCGCACCTAGCTGCAAAGGCGCTCCGCCCCACAATCGAGCTGTCAGCCAGCACAAAGTACTCACACCTGCAACCAACCCACTACGTGAATACAATCTCTTGCAGCCTCTTGCAGCGAGACGGGCTCAAACCATCACACAATTTAAAAAACTCGTTAAAGAGCATTACCTTACTCTATAGACTCACTTCTCCTATCTTAGCATGGTGACATAGACACACACGCACATACACACACACACACAAACACACACAAATGGACACGCATCTGTAGTAATCATTATATATTTTATATATATAGCATATATAAATATATATATAGTAGGTATATAGTAGTTGGTTTTATACATATATAAGTATAGTATTTTAATGTTAAGCATTTATCTAAAATTGTACACTTGACGACCCATATTTCAGACTCCTATTATAGCTTCATCCAAAGGTTGTCAGTAAGAGATCGCCTTGTGCGATAAGACCGCCCATTGTACACTCAATGTTTGTAAGCTATTCTTTATAACTGTGTGGTGTACAATAAAGTATATAATAATAATAACAATCCTTCTACATTGTCCACCGTGTTAGTATCTTCTCACGTACCTGCCAATAGCCCCACAGATGGCGCTCGGGTGGCTGTGGCCGCCAACTCAGTGTGTAGTAGCAATGGTTGTGCACATAAAGCGGCACATCCCGCGCACCAGCACGCCGCTACTGCCCAACCCAGAGGCCCGACACACGCAGATGTCTAATGAAACAATGGTACATTTGTTCATTCTCAGTTCGGACTTGAAACTCTTTCTAGTAAGGCCGTGGTTCAAACTTACCTGCTTCGTATCACATTCAAGAAGCGTTAACATAGCTGCAGAATGTGTAGCGGCAGTAGCAGCTCTGAGTAGTACTGGCAGTCTCGTTTTACTTCCCACTACGAGGCTAAGGAGTTGTAACAGTGCAGCCACGAGACACATCGCACTGCCCAGGCTAACTGTGATCTTCACAATAGCTCGCGAGTCGCTCTCAGCATCCGTCTGGAAGAATCACTGCTGTTTTAAATTATGAAGCCAGTCAACGATATTAAGGTTATGTATTACCAGGTGCTAGTACTCACGAGACCCAAACTGTCGACGGTAAATAACGCTATGGTCGCAAGGCCTCGACAGCGGCAGGCGATGTACTCGTAAGTCTGCTCTTGTACACGTAGCTCACATGTGTGAGTGCTCCACACGCGCGGCGAGGACCGCGACCGACTCCCGCACGCTAGCTGAGGACCTGGGGTAGCAAAACTCTATCAAAATATCCAAGGACAAAGTTTTGATTATTCACTAAATTGTCTACTCACCGATGGCGCTGTAGTTCTTCGAGTGTGTAAACAGCAAGGTCACAGTATGAAGGAGAGTATTGTAAACTCCTGCGCCACTGACGGAAAGCTGTATCTGTTGCGATGCTATTGTGTACTGTGTCGCACGACCAGACCTGGAAGAGTTAGTAAAATAAAAGTAGTTAGGAAAATAAAAGTAAAAATGTAAGAAAATAATAATAATAAAAACCATAAAAATAAATCAAGATTCAACACTGAATCCGAGAGCACCATGCACCCGTCCAGCTCCCGCCAGACATGTTATTGTTACATTATCACCCTGATAAGATTAAAACTTAGTTTTCATGTAATATGTTTAAATTATTACTAGAACAGTTTGCATGGACTTACTCTATTAACAGTTAAGGTGGACGGCACCAAGCGTATCTCAGGAGGTCTCAGCACTGTCAGTCTCAACGCTCTGCAGCGTCTCCTGCCAGCATCGTCTGCAGCACAGGACCACTTCCCACTATCTAATCTCTCCGCCTCTGTTACACCTAGTACTGACATTCGACGACCGAGTGCGTCTTCTGACACTGTTCGTGTCCAAATGTCCCTAAAACCAGATTTTTCTCTAGTTATTTACACACTTTATCTCTAACAGTATGCATACTTATAATTATTGCAGTACCGAGGAAACATTTAGAAGACTTTACATAAAAATATGCAGAATATTTATATTTATGTTCAACTGCAAAATAAGCCATCATGGCGGTACGTTGGAAGTTGGGCGATTAATCGGTGCGGTTAACTAACAGTCACCGGTAATTGGATGGGTGGCCATTTCGTGTCGAGAGTGAAAAGGCTCATTTACTCTTTGCGACTATTATGGTGTAGATCGAGTTTTTAAGCCTGGTCTGAAATTTTTCTACGTTAAAGTTAATTTGGTTTAAGAATGTTGTGCTCACTTACCTTGTGGTACCGTTGAAATTTATTTTGACGCTGTCTTTGTACCACGTAAAGGCCATGCTTGGAGATCCATATGCCATACAAGTTAGTATGAACTCTGACCCCTCCCACACTTCTGGCCGTTGGTTCACAACCAGTTTCTGTAGGTTAAATAATATGACAATATACTAAATATTAGCATGAATTTAAACCTTCACGTATTCTGGAGTTTTTGCTGTATATACTCGTACAAGATTATCTAGTGCTACCTAGTAGTGTAATGGCGTATAGAGACATGGATGATATTTGAGCCAGGATAACGAGTTAACGAGTATTATCTGGTAGCATGTGTTCTGGACTGTAGCCAAATTTTGTAAAAGGCGGTAGTAAACGTTTAATGGAAGTAATTAAACGTTTACTACCGCGCAAAAACTTAGGAGATGGGCTTATTGCTAGAAGTTATTTCTTTTTCTTCAAATAATATCTGCATTGCTAGTGCAGTCGGTTGACTGGATGCTGCCTTTCGCATTCACAACATCGCGGATTCGAATCTTGCGCAAAATAACTCTGCGTATTATCTTCTAATAATCTCTTTATCTATAATTTACACAGAATTATATTAATAATTTACACATAATCTTCTATTAATGCATTGACATATGAAAACCAATTTAAGCTACTTTCATTATTTAGTATTGACTGATTTATAATCAGTCCGAAGTTATTTCCAAACAACCAAGTAACAGAAATCTCGTTACACTAAGTAGGTACTTTTTCATTGATTATGGATATGTACTTAAGAATTTAATCAAGCTGAGATTTCCCCAATCACCTTAAGCGCTCATGTTTCCTCTTGATTTCGCTGTAAAAGATTGATGGTGTCGTTATGAATGTAAGTGCTCATAGCGATTGCCAGATTGCTTCAGTGTGAGAAAAATCTATACTTATTAAAAAAATGTGTAGCTAACACAATATTATAACTGCTACTGATAGATCCCGTGCGATCCAACCAAATCTGGGATTGTTATTAAATATCGAATCGTGTCCTACTTACTGCTGACATACATGAATATACCAAGTAAAAACTGGGTGAACAGTAACACTTACTTACAGTTACAGATTAAAGAATATTACCATTTAAAGATGACAAATATTTTTTAATCGTACTCACGTGCAAACTTAGCGCTGGATGCATGTCAAAATGCGTGGAGGTAGGTAGGAGACGAGTACGTGCAGAAGCGAGACGTGCCAGTGCTGCCCGTAATGCTGGTGCCTCGCGCCTAGAACTCCACACTCGCACCCAAGCATCCCTTACACCTTCTGTGGTTGTCAAACTGTCAAACAAAATAAGAAAAAATAGACTATTATGTAGACTCAGATAATTTAGTTTACTGAATATTTCATTTACATAATATCCATACTGTTTATAATCTGTCTCAGAAATCGCAAAACGAGACTTACCTTGTATTCAACACTTGTACATCATCTTCTAAAGTAATATTTGATGCCTTCAAAAATTGTGTTAGCTGTAACAAATGAACATCAATGTTTACCAAGTTATTCTTTCCATTACAATTTGGTTATTATTACAATAATTTACCTGTTTCGCAATTTCATCCGATATGTTTTCATTTGGTAGACCCACTACTTGCAGTCTTGTTTCGAATCGCGCTGATACTATACAAAAAGAAATATTTAACAGATGTAAATACCAGACAGTGGGTCAAATTTAAATAGCAAGTTATAATGAAAAATATACTAACATCCGGACAGGTAAAATTAAACAAAAATTTGTCAAGGAACTTGGTAAATATGTGCACTACGCTGTGGAGGTAAGGTCAAATTTGTTGCGGTTATAACATATTTACGAAATCACTCTTACACTTTCATAAAATTAGCCATTAAAATTACAACAACAGATGGAAATATAACAAATAAAATACTCACACGCGTCTGTGTCCTTAGGATTACAATCACAAGCTGTTCCGTCTTTACAAACTTCTGCACATTCTGCTATACCGCATTCTGCAACAAAAACGTTAAAGTTAATTTAATTTACAGTATTTAGTGGATCGTTCTTTAGTACACCACCTCCTTCGAAGTATCAGCTTACAATAACAGCTTTAATTTATTGGACAACTACTACCCGCTAACTAGCGTACACGCTTGTGTACAAAAACAAAAAGTAGGTATTAATTGCATTTACAAAGAACCAAAAGAATGTTTCTTTAAGTTTCTGAAAAAGGACTAAAATAAAAAAAACCAGCGTAAGTTGATAAAAGTGGTTTTTAAAAGCTTTTGTAATCGCTTACAGGTCAAAATACAAAAGACTGTTAAAAAAAGTGTTTATGTTTCATTTTCAACTGTATTATTTCGTTATACAGTCAGCAATTGATTGAAGGAATTTGACAGATTGTTTGTATGCTAGTAATCATCAATATACAATGCTGGCAGCGGGTCTTTTCATTATAAGTTTGCTATAATTGCGCTTGGCAGGTGGAAGAAAGATCGCAGTTCCAAAGATTCAAGTTTATCAAAGAACGCTGCTGCCTTTTCTATGCCAAATGTGTATGATTAGCTGATGTCTCAAGTGCAATAATATTAGAATGATATAATGTATACATCTCACCAGGCGGCGCTACCTGAGCCTCGCACACGTCCCCCGTGTATCCGGGTGCGCAGATACAGCTGACGGCGGCCGGACCCATCTGTCTGCCGATACACTCTTGTTATTGAATAAAATGGACTCGATGAAGTATTTCCTAGTTTCGGAAATATTCGGTACAAGGTTGCAAAATATAGTAGTACTATTTATTTTAGGAATGTCGCGACTGTAAAAGTCAACTTTAATAAAACAAACTAATACTCCAATTCTATTGTTAATTTATTATTGTTAAAGGTTTTATTATTGTTTAGTATTATTATTGTTTAAGGACTATTTTTCTCTTGATTTATACTTTTCTTGCTTCTCCAACATTAAGGTTTGGAAGACATTCAGAAAAGTAATTTTTGAACTTACCTGCAAGTGCCGCCATTTTTACACATGTTGGAGGTCGTGGGACACAGCGGACCCACTCCGCAGTCCGCGCCGGAGTAACCATCGAAACACGAACAGTAAAACTCCCTGTGATATGAGAAATATTTCAATTGAATAAATTTCGAGACGCTTCACTACAGTGATGCTAAAACAATTATACATCGTTAATGATAATTTGTTGTGTATTTGTTTTATAAAACATTGTAATTTGGTATTAGTACGTGCGAATGTAAAATTTTTTACAAAGTTCGAGAAAATAGAAAAAAGTTGACTTAAGAACGGGAAGTTAGCGTGGGGAACGTTATAAACGTATTACGGATTTTATGTAAGGAGATTTATATCTACGCAAACAGCGGTGGAAACAAAAGATAACTGGTACGTGATTCCCAGTAAGTTGAACTAAAAATAAATAGAAGATAAAGATTTCCTGCACACCAATCTGTAGTACTCACTTATAATCCTGTCTAGCATAGCAGTGTCCCAGCAGGCGGCACTCGATGGCGCTGCAGGAGGTGGGCCCCGGCGCCTGCGCGGCCGCCCGCACCTCGTACGTCACGTTGAACCCGTACACGGCGAGCAGGCCCAGCGCGCGGAGCTGTGTGCCTTCTATTCTGTCCAGGTTCAGCTCCACTACTAGCACTGGACTCTGGACCTGCAAATATGCTACAGTAAGTATCATCATCGTCGCCATTCTATAACAGTCCGTTGTTGGACTACTTATGAGGTTCCCCTACATGAGAGGTTTTGCTATAATCTTTGTCATAACTTTTTGGTATGAGGCATCCCCGTGTAATAATTCTTCTTGTCTTACATAGCCCACATGGTAAATGGTTAATAGAAAAATAGTCTTATGATTTATGTCATGGCTTAGCTATATGACCATGGAATGTGGAATCGATTATGAGATCGACAGCTGAATGTTCATCTTCCAATATTCCAGGTAAAAGAGCTCAAAAACAAGGCATTGTGTGACGAACAATAGTCTGGTTGTATACGTGAGCATACTGGTGCACTATAGGGGTTTTAAAAAATACATCGTCAGAAGAACAACGAAAACCCAAGTATTTGAACAATATTTCCAAAAAAGTATTTTTCCTGATACGGCAATAAAAGGGATTGATGAAAAAAAGGATGTGAAAATAGTTAAATGAATTTATCGTTTATGTAAAAACTACATTTAACTATTAAGAATTTACTAATTAGTACAAACTTTTAAATCCACAGCTTGAAGCTGCTAGTGGTCGACGCTCAGCCGTAAGTTTTAGATTTATTCCTGCTCTCAGTTTAACTTGGCGGTAAATGCTGGGAGCCGTCGGAATCCGTCGAAAGAAAAATACAAACAAAACCCGTGTGTTTAGTAACACGAGGCAAAGCTCTGCAAGGGTTTATTCTTGTTCATGAATTCGTAACGGGAAAAAATTAGACAAGTTCTTTTAGAAAACTCTAGATTTTATTAGTAAGACGAAGTGATTAATTTAATTTGTGGCTCCGTCTCTAATGAGACACATTTGCAAGTTCTGCATTCGTTCCACGACTATACCCAAATGTCGTGATCTGCGTCCGAACAGCTGATAGAAATAAGTTACTTAATTAATTTATTCCTGTAATTAGTTCTGTAGAGAACTTTCTTCGTGTACTGAATAAATTAAGTTCATAGAAAACTAAACATATTTTAAATGGAAATAGCGGTGTTTGTAGGGTTAAAACCAAGCAACTTTCTGTTCTCAGGGATACCCAAAGGAAAGTCTTAGTTTTAGGCTTACTTTTTGCGTCTGCCATTAGTATTTAACGATCTGATGGTTTGACTATCAGAACATGTCAATGGTATTACGCTCACATTTGTTCTACTTCTAGTGTATAAAGTATTTGAAATAATTAACAATATCTAAGAGTTGCATTTACAAAACAGAATGATTTATTATTTTTTTTGCTATTATGTTTTAAAAATATAAATATGAATCAGTCAAATCCCAAATTTAATAAAAATTTTATATGATTTCAGACCTATATTTTTGTATGGAAACAAAGGACTTTATTAAAATTTTTACAATTTTTTATTTTATAGAGAACCCAAAGGGAGATTAATTGAGTGTTTTCTAGCTGTTAATTTTTGTAGCTACATTGTAGTAAAAATTGTAGTTGAAGCGAATCAAGATTGTTAATATTTGTTGCAGAGTGCAGAGGTACTCATTGACCTCTCTCTAAAGTTGGTAATTGAGAAACAATTCGCCGGCAATCAGGGCATACAATATTCAGTTCACTTGTTTGTGTAGTAACGACAAACATTCTCAACTTCTGTATTGTAACTACTCAAGAAGTATATGTATATACCCATTTTTCTTAACTCTTGGAAATGCTAGCTACTGGAAAATTGTTGAAATCCTCCGCTAACATCGGTCGACGAAGATCACATTGGCAGTGAATTCGTTCAGTAAATGTTTTTTTTTAGGGACATTCGAAACAAAACTGCATGTAGTAGATTGGCTACCAAATTCATTTATCTGCTCAAAGGTAATTTTTTCCCATTCAATACAGCCCTAAATCTGTGCGGGTCTATTTGGTCTGTACTGCAAAACTCGTTTAGGCCAGACTTTGATGCCGGTGGAGTGGAAGGTCTGCGAGCCGAGTAACTGGGTATATTAGTATACGGCGATATTGCCCGCCTGCGGTCAACCGCAACAAGTACTCACAGAGACCGCACATAGACCAACTGGATTTATTTGACAGACTCTTGGATAAGTATAGGATTTCTACTGGCCATTGCTCTTTTGGAAATTAACTTTACTTCTTTATACGGAATTCAGATTTCCTTATTTATGTGTACACGTTTCTATCTTCTGCATGAATAAATAGATGATACGTGTCATAATATAGTGACATTGACATAAACTACCCAGACATACTATATGCTACTGCGCAAAGTGACGCAGATGCCACAAATTGTTGTTCCGGGTCTTGGTGTTATCTGTATGATTTCACTCAGCCAAACCCACTTAAGATGCGATTGACAATGCAAATTTGCCAAAAAAATTAACCACAATCAAACGATTTCATAAAACCAATAAGTACAGTAATAGGATTGATACTTAGCAAATTATGTCAAAACATCAGCAGTTAGGTATAAGTACATAAAAATATCGTCCCCAAATATGATTTGTATAAATATCGTAATCTGTACGATGACCGTGAAACTTAATTTTGGTATTTTTTAGGGGTAACGCTAGTATTTTCTTTTTACAAAATATATGAGGTTAATATTTACGTAGTTTACACTCCAGGGAACGATACAATCAGACGCGGTGGAACGACCAGCTGCGTGACTTGAATACTGAATGAGAAACATTGTGAATTGGGAATTTCAATACTTTACTATATATTTTACTACTTTATATTTAATTAATTGTAATACGTTAATAACAAAAACTCACGAGTTAATAGAAACTACTAGAACTATACCAAGTGGGAAAACAGACTAGTGAAATCCGAAAACTTATAAAGTGTAATAAAAAAGTCTCAAATTATATGAGCCACTATCTCAAACGCTTAATACAACAGGCACAAAGTATTAAATCGAAAAACCAAATAATAGCTCGGCCGATGCGAAAGGTAAGGTTCTCGGTTTTAGATTATACTAGCTCTAAACCCACCAACGAAGGAATTTTGGATTGGCTGAGGGTAAAAGTTTACGGTTCAGTTTAACAGCGTCTTACGATTCAGCATCAGAGTGATGATGCTAAACTCATCCCCTTCCGGCCCACTCTGTGATAAATGTGAGGGATCACGAGTAAACCTCACAGCTACTTTACGAGGCAACAAAAACTTTCAAACCTCACTAGAGTGCACGGAACTGCTGACTTGTGAATTAATGTGTGATGTAATCAGTTACATTTTATTTGTAAATTTCTCACTTTTTTTTTCGATTAAGGTAAAACTCTACGGATTTATGAGAAGAGATTTTCGAATCGTTCGAATTGAAATTAAAACAATATTTATCAGGGTTAATATAAATATAAACTTTGAAAATAAGAAGGTATGTCTTCAAGGGCAATCGAAAGAAAGGGATAGTTTTTAGTCAGTCTCTCGTCCTCCGTCCACCAGGGTGCCAGAGGACAGAAATTTAAAATAGAAGGTTGTGCCCAATGTGTCCTTTGTTTCTTTTGTTAATTATACATATAAGTAACGGATTTTCATTAATGATCCGACACGGGCTGATCAAGTTTTGGGACCATCTATTTTTTGTTTTTAATTTAATAGCAACGTTCCTTTTAATTCAAACTCACTTCGTCGAATATTAAATAATCTTAAAAAAAAATAATTAAAAGCATGGTCTCTGGGCTGTACATGAAACTGGCCTTTAAGTAATAAATAAAGTACACAAACAGTTTCAATATTGTATTGCCTTGGGGCGTTAGTGCACCATGCAATTGCCTGAAAATTGCTCTCGTGAAAACTGGTAACGTACTCGGGTGAATTTTGAATACAATATTTTATGGGCATTATTATCTTAGGAGTTAAATTGTTGTGTATACTGTAGGAGTAACTATACTAACCATGCAGTATATATGTATACACAAATACGTATTCTACTCATCTTTAATGGAAAATTCATCTAGCTAGTTACAGGGCATAATTAAAACAAATCAAAATATTTTGTTTGTGACTGGAGAACAACCTAGTTGATATCATTGATCAGGTTTACTTGAAATTTTGTGAAGAGTGTAAAAATCAAGTAGATGCATTCCTTGATGGTAAACGGTTATCGTCGCCCTTGGACACCCGCAACGCCAGAAGAATCAGGAGTGCGTAGCCTCCTTTAAAACTAAAGGGCTTAAAATCGAAATAGTTTAGTCATCTTATTCAACAAACAATACAAACTAACCGAAGCCGATTTCGTACAATAAAGATACAGCACAGCTAGGAAATACAAGCACGTGAATTTTAGCTGTACCAAGAGGCCGCTTTCAGCCCATAATCGTACAGCCAGACCTTTCTAGAAAAAGTATTCATGGGTTGAACACTAAAAGCAGCCTAAAAACGATCGGATTTTACTATCGCAGTTTACCACATCATATTTATTTAGTAACAATGTTTTAGTGTCTACCAAAGTAAATAGAAAGCAGGCTTTTTAAATTTATTCACATGCATGATAGTATCATTATATGATTGCGTTTTGTAGCACCATGACACGTATACTAGTCACTTGTCTTTCGAAATATCTTATTTCACCAGATCAATTACCCTAAGAGACCGCAGTACAAATTGCCAGATCTTATTGCAGGTTATTTCCTTGTAAACACAAACGTACAACCTCAACAGTATAATTATCTTGCCAACTACAAAACCTTAATGACTTGAGATAGGACAGAAGATTAGAAAGAGACAAACCACTCAGTGGTAATTACTGATAAGCTAAGTACTCCTGCTGACTGCACACAACTCTATGGCGGTGGATTGTTCTACAGTGACCTGAGATATTAAGTAATTACAATTTCATTACTTTTGGTTAACTACTTAAGCATAGGATTATCATCTCATTACTTTTAGGATTTTTGCAATTCAGTTGCATGGATATTTTTTATGAATATTTTTATTGTCGATTGTTCGTCGTCTATTATTTCTTTTTCTGTGATAGGTCGGCTAACGAGCCTACGGATTACATTGATAGTAGGCAATCAGTGC